GACGGTTCCGTAATTTTACTCCGATTCTTGCCATCTGGAACATGGAAGGTGCATGAGAACGATCATAGGATCCGAATTTCAAACAAAGTGATTTGGTCACATTGCCGGTTAAGGCAACATAGATCCCTACAATACAAAAAAGGAAAAAATTTAAAGAACGAAAGAAAGAAAGAAAGATGAGATTTTGCTAAGCATCAAAGGTTTTTAGAATAGCAGGGAACATGCGTTTCACCATTAGAAAAGGTTTTTAGCACAATGCATCATGCTTGCTTCGAATACCTTGTTATGGAGATTAATCGTAACGTTGGAAGGATAAATTGTTAACATCAATTTGTTGATAACGATAAGCTCTAACCGTTAGAATTGTTTGTATCAATTTGGAAAATCCATAAGAAGGAACATTCTAAATTGAATACATGATGGGACACAAATTGATGCAATAAAAAACATAATTTACACCGCATAAGAAAAGCAATTTCCTTGGCCAACCGATCAACTGTTTTTGAAGTTTTGGATGCAAAGGATATCAACAATTTCCAAAGATTCATCTTTTCGAAGCTTAAGGTCACAATTCATCCGTTCGAAACTTGACAAACAATGTTAAGCAGCGTATTACACAAAATTTAACGTTTAGGAAGTTCTTAACTGCCGTATCCGTCATACCAATATCTTTGGTTTGCCATTGTTGCCAAATCAAAAAATTGTTTTCAATTGGCAAGGCCATCTGTCACGGCATATTAAAAACATTTGGTTTGATGCCAAGCAATAGAATGAGAGAATGAGCCCTGAATTCAAAATTTTTTTTTTCGCTTAACAAAACGATTTTCTTTGAAGCAAGAATAAAAGCAACAACAACAATACTGTATAATATGATAATAATACTGTATAATATGATAATAATATTGTATAATAATAATAATAATAAATAAATAAATAATAGTAAATAAATAATAGTAATAGTAATAACGTAACTGTATATTATCAGATTCTAATAGTCAAATCGAACAGTCGATCGTTTTTTTTTTTGTTAATGCTCTCCTGGGTTATCTAAATGCCATCTGAGGATTTGATCAACAAACCAAGAATTCCACGATGAAAATTGTTGCCATTTTAGGATCAATATGCGACGGACGTTAGCTTAGCAATGTTTTTCTTTTCTTTTCTTTTTTTTTTTTTTTTCCTCTAGTATTTCGAGCGGTGATAGAGATGATGATGAAACTAGTAAATGCGGTAAATTAGAATGGTTCAATGAGGAAAAACGTGCTATAAATAAATATGGAACATACAGTTTCTTTTTTTAAAAAAATAAAATATCATTCATCGGAGGTTTTTCATCGCTATTGTACAATGGAGCAAGATTACTTCATAGAATGTTGATCAGGAATCCCTCAATGAAATAGTCATGAACGAGAGTTAATTAGCGAAACCTGTCCACGCGGAAATTATCATGATTCATAGGTAATTAACACGATCCATTAATTAATTAATTAATAATAAGCCTATATGTATTTCGACATTTTTGTCGGATGTTTAATGATTCCATAACAGGTGCCGATTCTATTGTAAAATTTGTTAACACTCCGTGATTAAGGTATATGATGTGATGCGCACAAGCTTGGAATCGGAGCTCATATGGGTTCATTAAACATTGTCATTGTGATTTAGTTAATCCAGGTCACACCTTGTCATTCTCCATTGACGGCGTATATCCCGCTAACCATTCTCGATAAGGTGATTTTACCTCAACAATCATTATGCTCATCACCTTTGCCTTCGGGCGCGATGCGCATGTTTATTTTTCTCGTCGGAAAAAAGAAAGGAACACGATCCCCATCCTTTCATTCGCTCAGTCTGTTTACTTTATTCTCATGATATCATTATTTTAGGATACATGCGTGCGTAGAAGATTGATGCAATCAAGCTCGCAGAAGGCATGTCGAAACTCCGTAAGTTCCAGTTGAAAAGTTGACAGAGTCCAAATTCAAGTTCGCCGCTGTAATGAGTATGTGCATACTCATCTCAAAGCAATGTTTGTTTTGAGGAAATTCTTGATTACAATCCATCCGCGCATGAAATTATTATCTCCTTATGGACGCTGCGTCTGTCAAGGCGTGTGAAGTATCAAATCAAATATGCGACATGGCGTGTGTACGTTTGTCGCACCTATCATTTCGCTATAGGAACAGGGAACTTACGATTCTTCATTTCTTTCTTTCTTTCTTTCCTTCTGACACTATCGGGAAAAATGAAAGTGAGCGGATTTTTCCGTCCGTTCGGAGTGGAACCGGTGTTCATGTTCTTGTGTGTGAGAGAAGATGATCACGCTAAAAAATCGATGCGAACGAAATTCCGAGGCACCCGTCTATTCCGCCGGTGCCCAAAAGAGTGAGGCAAAACGTCTCGTGTAACACGCCGGTTGGGTGCAACGTTACACCTAACGGCCATAAAAATCTTTATTATCGGAGTTTCGTGACGGTCATGGATTTTACGCAATCATCATTATAATTAGAATCATCATGCATCTTGGAATGCATGGTCCACACTTTGCAGGGAAGGGACTGTGACCTTCTGATTTTTAAAAATAGAACATCAGCTTACAATGGTCATGTTACGTAATGGAGAAAGGTGGAACGCAGTAGGAATGTGGCGAGATCTTGGAAAAGTCGATGTGGCACTGTTGGATTCCATTCGCTCACACGCCAAGGCCGGTGCTTATAAAAACAACAATAAAATCAAATTTCGACGTTTCAGGTGAAAATTAAATTGTCCCTTAAAATGCCTTAAACTGTCCATTCAACACAAATTTTATCCTATTCCTCATTCTTGCATCCAACGATTAACCTACACCCCCTCAAAATTTGGTATGATCCAGTTGACCTGTGTTTCCAATAGAGTGTAATATTTACATTCTTGATTATACCTGATGTCGCTGTTTGGTAAAAAAAAAAAAAAAATCCGATTGTGGCGAATCCTAACATGGTTCCGCATTCCGCATTCCAATGTTATAATTACAGTATATGATGCATACGTATTATGGGCGTCTTCGCAAAAACCTTTGTCCTTGATCGTGATCGGCTAAATTAACAACTATAATAATAAGCAGTTTAAGATTATGACGCAAGTGAGGATAAACAAAGAAAACTAGTGATGTTGGGATTACGGATTTTTTGGAAATTGACATTCTGTTCTGCTCCCCCCAGCAAACATACGTAACCCCTTCCTTTTACCACCATTTCCTTTTCTCCGAGTCGGTCACTCGATCCTTTAGGAAATTTGGAATTCAGCAGAAAGGCAAATCATTATTGTTATTTCGTCCTTTTCTGATGACGAACGAATGACAACAAGAATCTGCGCCTTCCGCATGTGTGGCATTGGTCAAAGGCAAATGTTCGATGGCGAATGAACGACAACCGACGAACTCATTCAAAATGCGAGAGCCCAGCGTGTTGGACTGGATTACTCTCGTTTACCTCAACCACCTGGTGCAATTTCGTCCAAGATTGCGCAGAGGCATGTGCAAATCAAGTCCCCCTCCTCGACATTGCGATACCCATTACGTATTAATTAAAATTGATTTATTGTATGAGAATGGGGGGAATTCCACGAATAGCTAACAAAATTAGGAATCATTATTGTCCTTTTTTTTTTTTTCATGTCATTATCACGAGCCTCATTCCTGATACACCCTCCTTTTATCGGAGTGATTTATATAATTGGGGGCAGAATGCTTTTAAGGTTATCTCTTCAACTGACGTTCGCCGATGTTATCATAGATGTAATCGATCTTTCATTTGATCTCTCATTTTGCAGGTCTTTCGTAATCATGTGGCTCGCATCAATTTGGGAAATGAAGTAAGTTGCGATGAAAAAAAAAAAATGATAATAATATATAGTAAAGAGGGTGCATACATGATCTCCGTGTGTAGGATAAGCATACGTGCCATAAGCCACAGTCGATGATTCCATATTACTAATGGAAGATATACGATTTCTTCTGACGTACCTTCTGGAATATCAGATATAGGAACATACGTGAGTCAAGTAAGTGTCCATACGTAAGTAAGTGTTGTCTCACCAAAACTCAGATACGCATTTGGTGATGTGTATGATCAAAAAAAAAACAAAGAGACATGCAGATGTCAAGATAACGAAAAAAGTAGGAACTTAACGTATTGTGCACAAACAACACGATAAGCTTACTGGGCTGCCAGCATTGTCAATTATGGTCGGGCTGCATCACTTCTAAAATTTGTAGTCAGGGGATTGCGGATAAGGATGTGTTAAAAAAAAAAAAAGCACGAGATGAAAATCGTGAGACCTGTTGTGAGGCTTTTTGAAAAGGAGAGGGAACGCATCAAGTTTCAAGACTAGAAGAGCATATGAGATTCCCATATGATGACAACATTTCCTCATCCAAAAGTTCACCCACGTTCGCCAATTGTTAATTTTATGAAAAAAAAAGTTCACACCGATCTGTCGTTATTTTTCTTCTTCAATTGAAATAAAAAAAGTCGGAGGGATGCGGCGAACGCCGATTTCGATTACATCATTTCCATTAAAAAACTTTTAACTGCACGTATGCCGTACGTCGTCTCCTCTATAAATTTCGGGACGTTAGGTTATACCTTTTTTGCTTGAAGTCTGCTTTAAATGTTTTTTTGCTTTGATGGAACTCAATTAATTAATTATTATGACGCTGAATGCGTGTGCACGGTAACCGATTAAGCCTAACCTAACCTACCGTACGTAAGTCATGTAGAAGTTACCTAAACTCTACTAAATTACGTCCCGACTCAGAACCTGAGTCATCCATCCGTTCGACGATCTGTTCTCAATCAACGGTAAAGTTGAACCAGTCAAAACTGCGATTCACACAGGCTTTGCGAGAAAAAAAGGCAAGAAGGGGGTATGCATTTTTTTGAAAGGTAGCATCCTGCGAAAGTATCATGTGCTCGGTGTCGTCTCGAACTTCCATACGACGAATCCGATCCGGTTACCTAAGCGGAATACCATAAAACGTATCTCGACACGTTCTGCACATTATTTCGCGAGAATTTATTTTTCTCAAGGATCTACGTTTGTTTGTTTTGTTTTTTTTTGCGCACTTGAATTTTTCTTTTCGCAAAAAAGATTTGCGATGATTTTCATTAAAATTTTCAAGTCGTGATTCGTCCATGCCACCAGACGTTTCAATTGGTAATCACGGAATGAGGAAGTGATACATAAACAGCGATGAAAAAAAAAAAACTCGTTTGTTCATTGTGTGCCCAACAACTTATGATCAGTGAATCTAATCGATGATCACGTAATCGGCTTAGCTATCGTTTACGAGATGAGAAAAAAATTTTTTGTAAGCGAATGATCAAAGACTGATTGGTTCCCCCAAATTTTAATTTGCTGAGAAACTTTGCACGATTTTTGCACGCTCTTTCCCTACTCACAAGGGTGCGTTTTGTTATTACCTGTCATAAATCAGGGATTAGGCGATCCAATCAAAAGTTAGATCAACTACTTTGTATAGTACGTAATGTAGTGATCGCTGGTGGCAGCAACAATTAATTAATTTTCAGACGCCATTGAATGCCTAAATGAGAACAAAACCATCGCAACAATGCGAACAAGATTTTACCCGAACGGACATGGCCTTTACATTCATCAATGTTGAATTTTCTGGGAGATAAAAGGGAACCAACGGAATACTTTGATTATGGTCACGTCACACCCACGCACCAATCAACTTTCACCAGTTCTTCAAGTAACCAATCAAGACGGTCTCTTTGTATACGTCACCTTTGTTCTTTTGAATTGTACCTTAATACCAACGCTTCGGTTCTTTGATTCACTTTCTCGGTCTTTCCTTTTTTCGAATTGTTCGCTTCCTTTGGTAACTGAAAAAGTGAGGAAAGAAGCGACCTTGATTGACCTTGAAGAAGAAGAAGAAGAAAGTGGTGCACTTCATTCACCCATTCATTCACTTGTTTCGCACATCGATGTGTCTGAAAAAATCAATACAGACATATAGTAAAAGATTTTTTGTCCAAAAAAAATAAATAAGTAAAAGAAAATCTTTTTTTGGCACAATCACGAGTCACCCTCTAACCGTTTTCCAATCTTGATCCTGCGCCCACATTCCCTTTCCTTTGATCTGTCGATCAACGCCGGAATTCGCATAGTTCACCATAATGTCACTTCCTGGACTACCAGTCATGTTACTCCAAACTTTCATCTATCCTCGATAAAGATTAAAAACAAAAGAGAACGTAATCACCATCATCAATAAAGTGTGGCGTGCAGCAGAGAATTGAGAGGTGGGTATGCACATAAACGTTATAGTAGAAAATCAATTCATATGACACACCAACAGGATTCATCATCCACACTACCAAAATCAACCATCTACCCACCAAACCAGCTACCCAAAATGACCCACTGAACGCGTGCATCGTTAGCTTGCTCTCTCGCCCGTGTAATCATCATGCGCTTTTTTTTCTTATCTCTCGTAACTATAATAATAATACATTATCATTATTATTATAATGACTGCTATTATTACTACTCTTTTTGTTCGTTGTGACCCGACCGGCCGTGGGTAGTCTTTTCCCTCTGCGCGTCCGATTGTTTATCACAGAATAGCACCAACCACCATAAACGGTGCTGGTTATACTATTTTCTGCAAATTATGTGCGGAGTGCGCATGAGAGGCGAAGGCCGATTATACTTTACAAAATAAAAAAGCATGTTTCCAAAAAACCGCGTGAAAATTGCTGTGAAAAAAAAAAAGTAATGTGAAAAATATCGTGTTGAATTACTTTATCCAATTCTAATTCAGAGTGTAACCAGCACAGTTTGAAAACAAAGATGTCCGAAAAAAATTTTTTTTTTTTTGTGTTCATTGTCAAAGGAGGAGACAAGTTTGTGGCTTTGGTTCCGAAAAGATGTGCATGTTATTTATGCGGTGATTTATTATTATTCGTCGTCGCCTCTCTCACTCCTCGACATGCGAGCATGCGTGCGTGACATATAATTGGTCTAGCTTTAGATTGTTCCTTTCACCATTCGTACCAAATTTCTTCTGCATGGTGTGACGAATTGTATTTCCCTGATAGCATACCTGATGTATCGCACAAAGCTAGAGAACATTATTTTTAGAACCGTGAGACCCACGCGATACGTGCGTGCGTACGAACGAACAACAAACGTATCACGGCAAGACTGAAGGAACGAAAACAACGACTTGAAAAATACACGCAAAAAAAAACTAGAGAACTTTTTTTCCAGGGAGGATCAAGTTTGACATTTCACAGATTTTATTTGATCATTTGAACAAAATATTTTCACAAAAGACAATAATAAATATCAAAGTGGAAAAAAAATTTTTTCTTCATAATGTGACGATTTGAAGTGATAAGTGAAATGCGGATGTGGTCATTTTTTTTAAACATTTATTTTTCTTTACAAAGCGAGACAAAAATAAGCTTAGATTTGATGGATGATGATGATGATGATGATGATATGATGATGATGATGATATGAGAATATGCTTTAATGAAGAATCTATAAGAAATGGTGGTGAAGAGTCTATGCGTGATAGTCTATGAAAAGCGCTGCTTCTTTTTTTTTTTGTTTTTTAAAGAAAAGATTCATATGGGTTGCTTGTGTCATATATATATATTGTAGGAATCGGTTATCCCGAATCATGAAAAACGTCTATAATTTATGATTATATACAATCTATTAAAAAAATAAAATAAAGATTGAACGAAATGTATGGTATATTAAACTAACGATTACGAAATTATTAATTTTAACGTTGAAAAAAATTATATTAACAAGAAATGTGTTTGTGTTTGTGTTTGTGAAATCCTTCGAAAGTTTATAGTACGATGCGAAAAGAACGAAATGTGTTTGTAAAAAAACGAATGTGTTTCTGACGTACAGAATAAAGAATGTATATAGTTGGGAGTTATTCGAAGAAAAAGTGGATAGGAGAGAAGGAGGATTGTTATCCGGTCCAGCCGTGAGAAGGAAGAAAGAAAAATGCGATACTATATACAAAAGTCTATTTCTTTCTCGACGTGATTGTCGAAGAAAGCCTCTGCGAAATATATTGTCTATTCCCAATATGACCATCAAGTCAAGCTTCGTCGTCATGATGTGAAATCTTCGGATGCCGCGTCAAATTAGCAAGTCGTTACTAACATATACTGGATATATAATATAATAATCAAATGTGGGATAATAATAACTGTGTGATCAAGAAAAGTGTACATTTTTTTTTTGTATATGACTCGGCAATCAATTGTCCTGAGAAATATAACATCAATTTGAGATTGTTCATAAAGCGGGTTTGTCTGATGGGTGAAGCGAATAGGCTAAACACAGGGAAGAATGGCGATGGGATCCAACCATTAACGGAAGGTCCTTCCCACCTTCACCCAGGTTAACCTCAACCAAAGCTTGAAACCGGTGAAACTACGCCTCGGATTGTAAGAATCTGAACTGTTTCTCTTGCTCTTGTGCTGCTTGCAATTCACGTTGTGACAACACTGGTTGTTGCTATGATGATGGTGGTGATGCCTTTCTGAGTCCACTTGGTTTGAAGTCTGATAGTAGGCGTATACATGATGGTTTGGACCTAATCTTGGACCCGACACTGAATCCAAGCTGTAGATCGAACTCCTCCTTGAAGAATAGACCGTTGGTGTCTCTGTTGCTGATTGAAAATCGAAATCAAAATCATGGGGAATTCCTCCGAGCGCGCTTATGATGTTCTGCTGATGCACACTGTGTGAATGTTGTGACTTGCTTGCTGAGTTTCTTCTCTTGAACGGGTTGTGAATCCTGCGGTTACGTGAGAACATGTTGCTGGTCTTCATTTTTTTTCTGGAGAAAAAGAAACGCTAAATGTATTTCTGGTTTTTTCTGGCAAGAAGAAAAAGACGTAACGTGATATTTGGGAAGAAACGTTCGTTAAAAAAAAAAAAAGTAAAGATGTTTTTTTTTTTTTTTGTTTGTTTGTTGTTTTGGGAAACTGAAAGTTATCAAGACTAGAGAAAAACTATTGCAGAATTACTACTGTTGTTTTAACTTGTCAAGATAGTGAGGATGACCGTCTCTCGATTATTTATACTAGAGGTAGAAGTGGGAAAAAAAAATTGAAAGGGGAGCAAAACCTCTTTGTTTGGGTGAAGAAAAGATGGGTGCGTTGAAGCAGTTGATGTAAATTTATAGAAAAAGTTCCACCTGAAACTTACTAATAAATTTTTAAACTACTGATATCTTACTTTAAAGAAAATGCAGCACGGTAATTATTGTGCACAGCAGGAACAAAAATAGAAATCATTTTTTTCAACCTAGTTTACTCTATAGAGTACGAAATATATTTGATTATTGAATACATGAATAATCATTTGTAATATAAACTATTTTAAATTATTTATATACAGTAAAAATCAACACACTAAATGGACCAACCGGTCCGCAAGCACAAAAAAAGTAACATAAATAAAAAATTTTCAATTTGAACCATACGTTTATATTTACATCATAGTATTCGTCATCCATTCCTATTTTATGATTTGTATTTGTCCTATCCTACACTCTCTTATCGTGTACCCTCTCATTTTTCTAAAACCGAAGGACCCTATCATTCTAAAATGAGGTTTATTTTATTCTATTCTATTTTTTTTTTTTTTTTTTTTTTTTTTTACTCACACCCCAGGTCGATGATCAATTTAATAGGTTTAATTGGATTTTTTTTTTTTTTTTAATAAGAATATTATTATCATTATTATGCCGTCTGTATCATTATTATTACTATTATTATTACTTTTTTTTCACATCACGGTCAAAATTCGGAGGTCAACTTGAGGTCACCACCCGGCATCACATGTTCACCAACAATTGTTTCTTTCATACTCGGCAATCTTCAGAGGGAATTCGGCCTGTCCTCCATCCGAAAATCCCATGTACCCGTTACACCGCTCGCCCATCTCTTCTTTCGCCCATCCATTCATCCACCCTCCCAGCAAACGTTCCACGCGGAAAAAAAATTCGAAAAACCACTAAAATCCTCTTCATACCGGTGAAACCAATTTGTTTCGGAAAATCTTTGAATTCAAAGTTACACGGTGTGCCAAAGTTTTCAATTTCGGAAGCCGTAATTTCATCCTGCATTTTGGGTACCGAATGGATGGAAGGAAGGTGAATTTCCAAATATTCGCAGTACCGGCGAGAGGTTCACATGGTGTCGCTTGGTGGGTGAGGGATAAGATGCGCGATTCGTAAATAAACGAACCAATGTGAGTGACGTGTAGTTGTGCAAGGGAAGGCGCTGGGTTGCCTTGCTTTGTGTTCACGGTTGGTTTACTGGTTGGTTCCTTGATGTTAGAAGACAAGGCAATGGTGGGATATATTAAGAAATTGAAATAATGTATGTATGTATGTTGGATCAATAAGATCAATAAGACACACTTGATTTGCCTGAATGATGCGTGACGAGCAATAAGTGTTAAGTTGTTTTGATTGTTATCTTTCTTATCGACGATCGTATTGTCCGAGGGCCACTCGAACAGAAAGTGAGAGGGCCTGGGCGTACAAGGGGAGAGAATGTAGGAAAATTTTCACAAGGAGGAAGAACAAAAGTACGTCGAGACGTCATGATTCTCACAATTAAAACACATTTGGCACACAGCGAACTTCTCTTCTTCTAAATTGTTCGCTCATTCCCTTTCACGGAAATGCCAGTCTTGGTATTTCTTTTCTCGGAAATTGTCCTCGCATCCATGCGCATAGATTCCAATTTCGTCAAGTAATAAATAGGTATCACACATCTCACAACGTATTATTATTATATTGTACGCAACCAACCACAATGCATTGCGTACGAGAAGAATGACCTTGCGAGAAAATTTATGATGAACATAATAGTAGTAGTGAGGTCGGGTTGGTATCGGTGTGAAAATGGGAATCAAAGCGTGCACATGGGTTACCAGCAACAATGAATAATACTGTATTCTTAGTTTACCACATTTTATTTAGGTCACGTGATGTAGTTCTTTGAAACAAAAAAAAAAAAAAGGTGGGTGGGAAAAACATAACCTCTCGATTGTCGGGTGCGATTTATTGATATTCTTGATGTTTCTCATTGTGAGGAAGCAATCAACTTGATGACAAACTTGATGCAGATCCCGCAAGTCCTAAGTATTGTTAAGGCCAGCCGGCCTAACCACCCGTATCTGGATTCAATCGAGTAAGGATTATTGTTGGGACACAATTATTTTCACCACCGCTGACACTATTTGTTTGCCCTGTCGCACCACACCACGCACCTGATTTGGTAATCGTTAAAGACGGTGAAATGGGTGAAAGGTGTGAGGGATCAACATCCGAGATCGTGAATTGAAACCAGAGGGCACTGTTCAGCTTGTCAACTTTTGGTGGTTGTAAGGTGAAGCATGAGATCCGTTTGGAAAACGACCTCAGCCACCTGGAAACATTTCACTGTGGTGGATGCTGTGAGGCCGTAATTTTTATTATTTTTTTTTTTTCTTTTGCACTAACAAAAAGTCCAATTGAAGAAACGACGTGTCATAACTATTGCATCTGAAGATGTAATTAATTATTTAATTGCATCAAAACGACCCACCAAGTCGATTATTATATGGGAATCGTTCATTTAACATTGATCTAAGTATGAAATGATCAATACATGTGTTGCCCATCCGGAAATCACGTTAGATCACCATTCATTATTCTTGGACTGTGCATCTCGTGATCTTCATTCTCTTTCTTCCCTACGAGCCTTTTTGTTTGAGATACTGAAAAGTGCCATCCTGACGACCACCAAGGTTCAACGAACCACCATCCCCACGACAGCCGTCGTCAAGAGGGTCACCTGGTGAGGATGATCGGGTTTGAATTGGTGCAATAATGCAACAACTTTCTGGAGCATTCATGGAACATCTCTGTCGCACGTTTATTGGGTTTGGATCATTCATGTAGTAGGTCTGACGAACGATTTATTCATGTATCCTGAAGGTGCACGACTGAATCCTGAAAACAACTATCGTTGCGAGCATCAATGAAGCCACAAAAAGCGAAAACAATGATACGTCAAATTTGAAGGTACCTGTTAACGTCAGAAATCCTCGTGGAAAAGTTTTATCGTGACCAGTGACACCGCTTAGCCTGCGGCTCGTTTCGATCTCAAAGCGATTGCCGATTGTGTGTGGCATGGAGGTAAAACCCGTCTCTGGCGACTTTACATGATCTCCACTCATTATCTGTAAGATCATTGAAGAAACTTGTCGGTGGGGAATCTTATCGCGATAGGTGGTATCCATTGTTCTGACATCATCGGCGCATCGATGTTATCAAGAGATGCTTGGGACCATTAAATAAAAAGAGGTTTTACTTAACATGGCTACCAGTGCGCTTTCAATGATTAATTGCCAAATTCGACTGATGCGTCGATATTAATGCAATCAACGTAATAATAATGACAGTTATAATTATAATTGTAAGAATAAATCATGCGTGAAGACTTGACTCTGATGATTTTATTGAACAAAAAAAAAGACTTGATATAATTTTACCAGTAAAAAAAAAAAAAACTCCTTGCATGTACAGTATAACCACGATCGATAATCAACAATCGCGAGCGATCAGATTCAGTTTCTTTGTATACATATTGACATCCGGTTCGGAGTGTAAATGTTCTTTTTTGGAACGTGAACAGGTGTGAGAAATCTCACCAAAGCAAGATGCACAGAAGTGTAAGCCTTAAGGTAAATTATAAGGCGAATACAGAATGCTCGTAATATACTAGGGCACTATATTGTACTTCCTTGTTCACCAAATTAGGTCTGGCTAGCCGGACCCCAGTTTATTATTAAAATCCAATTATGGTAAGTGTCAGCGTAAATTGTTTGCTTACCAAATACATTTTAATTTTCCTCACATAACTTATAAATTGGACTATCACTTTATTCCGCATTCCGTATAGCATAGGTGCGTACGCGTGCTCTGTGCTTGAGCCATATGGAGAATTTTAGCTGGACCATCAGCTCGGTATTAGGATTGAGGATGTACAGTTCGTGCGCAGTCGTCTCTCTTTCGGTGGCACATAAAGTGCTCCCTGGCATTTACGTCAGAATCTCTCGATATATGGTGGTGATGGGCTTGTGACACGAACATTGCATCCCAACCCACCGAATATGTACTTTTTATTCCGTGCGTGCGTAGGAACTACCATAATGTAAAATGACGGATGTCCTGGTGGTAGATGACGAGAGAATGAATAAGTGAAGAAATGTCGTCGATAGGGATGGATGATGCTCCCTGTTAGGAAAATTCGGAAGTCGCAAAATGTATCCCGTTATGTAATTTCCGATATGATTCATGGAGTGGGAACGAATTTATTCAGGTGATCATTTGCTATCCTGAAATTTTCTCTTTACGCATGATAAATGCAAGACTCTGAGTGTAACTCCTTTGGAGTCACGCACGCATACACCCATTACCAAAACCTCTTTCCGACATGTCCAATCCTCAAAGAAAGAGGCAGGGGTCATTGTCTTTTAAAGAATGTAGGATGTATACGAATTTCACACACAGGGATATCCTTGCATCGATCTACTTTGCAAACATAAGTAGCACATCCTTATGCAGATATACGAGATGAAAGAATGCTTCATTATGCTGCATAACAATAATTGTGGATGACCTACTTTCTTTTTTAAAAAATTTCGGAATTTGTGTCAGATGACCGATGGCACTGCGCTATGGTTTCCGTTTTGAAATTCAATTCATCAAAGCTCTCGGTTTCATCATGGTTTGTCATTTCCCAAACTGAACCAACAACTCCCGTGACAATATTGACTCTGGCGATGAGATGAAAGAACATCAATTTCAGGGAGTGACATCTCTCTCTTCTTTTACGTCTGTTTGTTTGTTTATTTATTATTAATATGCGTAAGACGTCTCACCAACCAAGGTAATTAATTCCTTGAAGCGAATGGAATGATCCCAATAAATATTAGTGCGAGTGAAACGTGTGTAAAGAGAAGAAATAATTTTTCGTTAATGTAAACAATGTGAGCGGACTCCTTGCATAACAATTTCCGGATTTACAGAAAGTGCATCAAATGTTTGCCACACAAGAACCCGAGCGATCATGTTATTAAAATATTCGCTGAAAAGAAACAAGACACTCGATTACTTTCACCGATTGCGCGATAAAAAAACTTTTTTTTTACATCCTGCCTTTCACCACGACTACTTACTTAGAACCATCGGAAATACCAGTGACACCTGAAAACGACGATTCGTTAGCCTCGTTTCTGCAACGGTCGTGCGTCAATGCGAGAATGGATCGCCTTAAGAAACAGAAGAATATGCATCGAAACGCAACACGTCAAATCCATCCCGTTGGGAATTTCGGATTGTTATGCAAACTAAAATGAAAACAAATCAGTAAAAGGAAAAAAATAACTCAAACCAATTAATTGAAATAGATAATGCAATATTTATTTGTTTTCCGATAAATTCAATTAATTCCAAATGAATGTCGATTTGCAACACCGATTAATTTAATTTCCACCAATGGTGAAGATCAAGGTTTTTCTAATGCCGATTCACCATTCAATGTCGGAATATTCTAAGCCAAGCCAGTCAAATCCAACCCCTAAACATGATCAATCGACGGCCGTTGGTAGCTGATATCGGATTCTTATCTCTTCCCACATGTCCGTTATACAATCTGATTGAATCAATGTTGATAAGAAGAGATGGCGGATCTAGCTCGACACAAGGTTACCCTTACATAGAATTCTGCCTCCCGGTTATGCGTTTCCACTTTTGTGAATCTAATGGTCGGCGTCGATTTGCCCAAAAAAGTTCAACAATTTCGAAGCCCTAATAATAACCAACGATTGTTATCGTGAAAATAATTCATTTCCGATGATAAGCTCGTGTTGCGTGTATGCTCCTAGAAGACGGGTATACTATTTCTTATCACGCATACAGTACATCGTATGTAACACCTTTGCATTCCATAAATATTATTGTGGACACATCGCTATTTACCGTCGACTCGCATCTCATTTTATTTCGTGTGCAGGCAAGCAGAGCACGTAATCTCATGTCAACCTGTCATTCGTTTAATGAATCTCACATGGTCGAGAACAATTATCTTCGTATTGCATAAAAATAATCATCGCATGTAGAATGTAATATTATTAGAATGCCATAAATATATGAAAATATGAATGCCGCATATTGTGCTACATCCTCATCAATGATAATAATATCTTGATTGTGAAGAAAATATGATCCGAATGCTTTAGGAGCTCGCATCTCGTCGAAAAAAGAGAATACACGTTACGCGATAATGCCCCCTTTCTTTTCTTTCACACGGCGACGTCAGGTCAGGATATTAGGATCATGAGTTATTATGCAGATATCTACTAATTACAAGGATGTATGACGATCTCATAATCTATCCTTTTCAATCCATTTATACATCGTCATTAGTCATCTGCTTTGTGGGCCATCGTTAGTTATTTCACGGGACGTCAATGCGCATCGGCATGTCCCAAATGGCACGGATTTTTCATTGACCCTGTCACGTAATACCGGAGCTCCCCCTTGTTCAGGTGTTATGCAACGTCACGGGAATACCCAACATCCAGTTTAAACTCTCTTTCAATACGACCGTAGAGGATGGGTCGGTCATCCTATGCTTGAGAAAATGGATGCATGAGATAGCCGAAATGAGGCTTCATATACAAATTACATTGTGACATCCGAATTCGGAAGTCTTAATCACCGATAATTTCGACCCAAGATTCAGGGAGCGTATCTTGGCAAACATCGTAATACATAGTCCATTCCAAGAATCGACAGAACAATGAAACTTAATAAACCTAAACGTCTCAACTTTATCTTGGAATTAAGAATCTTTGAGAAACGCAATGCATCGAGATTATCATCTCGAGACCCTTGGATAACAGTGGATTTGGCGTAAGTGTGTCAAGATACAAAATTGATTTGCGCACCGTGAATTGCCTAAGGATCTTCTCGCACCCTTGATAAATCGAGGATTTGTGCGAACCTGCAAATCTGTGCTGGGTCAGGTATTTGCATTGGTCGGTTACATTTCTGTCCGGTCGCTTGTTTGTTTGTCGGCTTGTCGTTTGATTGATTGATTGAATGCACTTCAAGAAGCCTGACCCCAAGGGTTCATGGTCCAAAACAAAAACTGGAAATGCATTTGTGATTTGCCGAAGCCGTGTTTGTAAATAATTATTGAAAGTAGATGTGGTACAGGTGATAATTTTGGGGGCTCGCTATTTTTATCAACTGCAGTTACCCAAAAAAAAAATTCGCCAACGTACAAACATACGACGTTGCCGTAAGAAGATCCGTTATCGATATGGCATGTCACTATGGTCTGGCAGTTAAAGCAGTCGGCTTACGATGTACTTTGTCATTGGGCAACGATGATGACAAAAAAAAGAAGTGGCTGTAGCCGTTAATTACTGTACTTGACCGAAATTACAAGGATTCAACGCTACACGGAACTCCTGTAAACGAATTTAGCACACTGGTGTGTGTATGCAGAAATTAAACTTAATTTTCTTGATCTTGACTCACGCAGACAAAATCATGTTAACAATGTGAATGTGGAAAATAATAATCGCGTGCGAATGTATGTCTTTTTCTGATAAAGAAAGTTTGATTTCGATGAGTTAAAGATGGAAACGCCTTTATCCCCATCATTTCCATCATTGGACGACTCTATTTATTTCTTGTCGTCTCATCTTTTGTCTCTCCCCCCTCCAATTTTGTTTGCCCTTTTGAGTTATAGGCCAAAATCCGACGCGTCTTGCACCCAATCTAAAATCGGTAATTCGTCGCACACACAGGTTACGCTGGCCGTTGTATGATTTAAGATGCTGTGTTTTCGCCAGTGTTTCGCCATACTGTATGAAGATAATTATGGTATGATAGAAACTTCGATAACGACATGATTGCGTGGTCATCGTTGTTACATTCATTCCAGCCATCTGATGCATTTACGTGTTTTCCCTTTGAGTTACATACATGTAATTAGCGCTCAAATGCTATTCTGGGAATCTTGGATCAATAAGTACATGTTAAGCGATTAAGGGCAAAAAAACATTTAAGTTTTAATTAGCAACTTTTTCCTAAACGGATATTCTATTCTAAAGCTAATACGACAATAATTGTCCACATTTAAACGTAATTCTGTTGGTTGTCATTATCTGACACAAACCGAGACTGTATGCATATACTGTACGTATTCTCGGGGAGCTGAAATTTTTCTCATCCCATGTTAATCAGGATTTAAATGGTTCGTGACATGTCGCGCATTAGTTATTATGTATTACTATCATACAAAACTGGGAAGTATTAGGATTTTCATACGTTCCAGGGGAGGGATCCACCTATAAAAGCGTTACCCTCTGTATTCTCATTGAACATTGTTACATGCACAGAGCAAGGAATATCGATCTAACCGTAGGCTAATATTGTCTTGAGTGCGCGTATTTTCCTAGCCATTCAAACCGAAATTGTTTTCATCTTGTTTTCATCACGTGAACCCTACGTTTCACCGTTTTGCCATCTCACAGACGAGAGAAGGTGGTGTCTATTTGTTCCACAATTTTTGCATAATCAAATTATTATTATCTTGGTGTGTTTCGAAATAAACAAGTTTTTGACAGAACTATGCGATTGTCTATAATGACTTATTCCGGCATGAATAAATGCTTTTAGGTTATTTCCCTTTGTTCCTACTCAACTGGATTATCGAGTACACACCGGACTTATTCCATTGTCAAAAATCCGGCTATTATTTTTTTACATGAAACTTAATTTACATAAGAAGTCAACGTCTATCGGAACGGGGCTTCAAGAAGCAATGCTTGTTGTTTGATCAATGACGAATTTTTCAAACTTATTGTGCATAATCTTTCATTGTGGTTTAACCAGTTGTGTTATTATTAATGTTTAAGCGTAATAGTACAGTGTGTATGCTTGTTTGGAAAATCCACACTGGATTTTTTTATTGAACTTTAGGAATTCCCTTTTACATAAACGCCGTAATAAACTAAGATGAGGTCTATTGAAACATTATCAAAATTTCTCTGCAACTGGATAAGGAAATATACCAAAGGTCATTACGTCAAGACGTTTCAAAAGTTAAGACTGTGTAATAATAATTAACAACCTAATAGAAATTTTTCCATAATGTTAAATTACTTACGGCACCTAACAATTAAAACTTTCGGGGTTATGCTATTATTCCACATTTAATAAACAACAATTTTTAACTACTGTACATATGGATAATACGTCCAAGATAAAATTAAACTTGGTTTTAACCATTATCATGCTAAACGGTGAAACTAATTAATTAACATATGTATTTAATGAAAAATAAAACATACGCGCCTGTCCATTTTACGCTAAAATGATAATTCCCGCTTCAATGCGTATTCTGTATTTTCAAAAATATTACTATTTATCGAAATTTTAAATATGAGGCATGATATAAAATACTTACAGTATACCATCCAAATAAAAACATCAATCTCTTAGTTACATAAATTAATTTTTTTGTTTATAAAAATAAAAAAATCGGTTAATTAATAAACAATCATAAAATATTTTTTTTATATATATTATATAAATTATTGTTATTATTATTGTTTTGTAAAAATTAGCACTTTGTGTAACCATTGTATTAATCTAATCAACACGATTATATTTTGTATCATAAAAAAAAGTAAAATAAAGGTTTTTATTTTTGGTTTTGATAATTTTTATTTTATTTTATCATTATTATCAATTTATTTTTTTTATGTAAATAAATATTATTATTATTATTATTTTTGTGTAGGTAAACACTATTTCTTTATTTATTCATATATTACAGGGTATATATTTAAAAAGAAACAACATTTCTCACATGCGATTTGCAGTGAGTTTAATGCTAGCCTGCCTACAGTAATTATTTAACTTCTACTAGAAAAGACATTTTAAAACTAGTATATTAATTAAATAATGCCAAGCAGCTATGTATACCTACTCAGAGCTATTTTGAGAAATAAATTTATAATAATTTAAAATAAGATTAGAAATATATGATGAAAAGTTAAGATTATTTTAGATAAATGTTTCTGCAACTAATGTAGGAATATCAACTATTGTATTGCAGTTTTAAAAATTTGAACATGTGTTGATGTGAAAAGTGAAGTTGGTTTTTGAGATGCTTGTATTGAAGTTATAATTATTTTTGTTACTATTATAAACTTTGTTACTGTTTGTTTTTTTTATTTTTATTGTTTTGTTCCATTTGATGCCAGTAGATGGTAAAGTATTTTCTGTGCTATAATAAGGTTTTCATGTAAGATTAAAGAATATTGTGAGAACTCAATAGATGTTTTGATCCGTTAGCTGTGGAAAATATATTTGCAGTAATTCCACATGCTAATTTTACTATCTGTCATGTATTGGAGATTGGGTGGTTGCTATTGTCTGGATAGAAAATTGCATTAATTGAGTTGATAATTTGCTTGGCTTTTTCTTTTGTTTTAGAACACTTGAGAATGTGGAAGATAATTTCTGATCAAAAGCTGCATCTGGGACAATATGAGTTCTTGTAGTGTTCAGAATATAGGTTGTGAAGAAATTCTTATATAGGGAGAGTGCCTGAAAGTAATTTGATTCTAAATGCTACCAGATTGCTGTAACTGTTATTATGAAGTCCTTTTATATGTTTGTTGAATAAGTTGATTATTTTGAGATTGATAGTGTTATAAGATTGATTAAGTGTTTTAAACATAGAGGAACTCTTGTATATTATGTAGAATCTGATAATGCTAAAGATTTTCTTGCATTATTTTGAGCAGCTTCCCAGATCTGTGTGGTTTATAGTAGGATTCTATGTGAAATGTAGAGATGAGTTGTTCCATTGTATATTATTGATAGTTTTTGGATTGGATTTAAATTTGGCGAGATTGAGAGTAATGGATTTTTGTACTGCCATGTGTTTAATTCTTGATATTAAGACAGTGAAGTTAACTTTTGTTCATTCTTTAGAAAAGCTAGAAGGGGTTTGAATAATGTTTTTGTTGTTTCTGATTTTGATTGTACATTGGATAGGGCACCATTACAGGATCTTATAAATGATGCAAAGCATGTTATCCATTGGTAGTCCTGAATTTGTTATTGTGATTTTGATGTCATTGACCACTACATCTTGTTTGACAAGTGAAATATAATATTTCTTAAATCGTAAGGCATTTTTTTTATAATGTTTAAAATTTTTTAACTAAAAAGTTGCTTTTCATTTATTTTTTTAAATAATCAAAA